CCCCCCCCCCCCCCGGCTACATGCCTGCCTAGAATATGTAATTATCACCATTAAGCATGCCAACAAAGCTAGTAATTGGAGATCATAACAGATCCAGTCCCAAAACATTTGAGACTCTACACAACAATAAGCACTACATTCCAGTTTAACTACCATGGCAGCATCTTACGAAATGCTGGGATTTGCTGTTTAAGGAGAGATACTTGGAAGTTTCAGCCAGAGATTCCTAAAGCATCACCAATGTTCAAATTAAAGCGGTGTCAAACTTTATTATTTCTACAGTATAAGTGTCCTCTTTGAAAGCAATGCTTTGATTACACTTTGAATTGTATGATGCTATTTGAGGTGGGGAACTGTAGGGAAAAGGTCATGTAGTGCAGGCTTTCCCCACTTATTTGACAGATCAGGGACCAAGGCACTGTCAAAAACTCAAAATGGTTCAGAAGTGGGACTCTTTCTTTAGCTTGCAAATGCAAGATTAGCATTGAATCGACTGTGACAGAGAAAAAGGCATCATGTGGTTGAAAGAGTGAAGAAGGGCCCAAACCTGCAGTACATGGCTATAATGTAGATTGATTCAAAGAGTAAATTGTTGGAAAGTAAAATGTTGAAAGACAATGGAGTTTTTCCCTACAATATTCAAATTAGTAAAGGTTTCCCCTTGACATTAAGTCTAGTCATGTCCCACTCTGGGGGGTCATGCTCATCTCCATTTCTAAGCCGAAGAACTGGCATTGTCCATAGACACCTCCAAGGTCATGTGGCTGGCATGATTGCATGGAGCACCAATACCTTCCCGCCAGAGTGGTACCTATTGATCAACTCACATTTGTATGTTTTTGAATGGCTATGCTGGCAGAAGCTGGAGCTAACAGTAGGAACTCACCCTGCTCCCCAGATTTGAACCTGTGACCTTTTGGTCAGCAAGTTCAACAGCTCAGCGGTTTAATCTGCTGCGCTACTGGGGGCACAAATAAGTGATAGAAATATATTTTAAAAAGAGAGGAATATAAAGTCACATTTATATACAGGGGAAAAGAAAACACAAAAATATGTACATACTGTATGCATTTTCCAAGCTGCATTAATTCTGTGGTGTGAATATAATTTTGCAAGCATTTTCATGCAAGTAATGTTTGTCAACTATCAAAGTCTTTTACAATTTTTTTGTCGTATCAGGAGTGACTTCAGAAACTGCAAGTCACTTCTGGTGTGAGAGAATTGGCCGTCTGCAAGGACGGCCCAGGGGACGCCTGAATGTTTGATGATTTACTATCTGTGTGGGAGGCTTCTCTCATGTTCCCACATGGGGAGCTAGAGCTCACACAGGGAGCGCATCTGCACTCTCCTTGGATTCAAACCGCTGACCTGTTGGTCGTCAGTCTTGCCAGCACGAGGGTTTAACCTATTGTACCATTGTGTGCTCCCTTTTACAATAAATGAATGTGAAAATGGGATAACAAAAATTAGTGTTTAGAAGAATGAGAAACAATAATAAGAATAAGAAACAGAGATAATCCAAAACTGATGGATTTTCTCATCTCTATTTGGTCCAATTTGTTTGTTGGGCCACTCTCTGAGTTCCTCAAAAAATCTCCTAATGATTGGCTCTTCAAAACAAATGAAGATGCTGAGTTGCCTGGCAAATAATAGCCCTGTGTCTTGCCCTCTTTGCCTCTCCAGGAAATGTGTTACTTGTGCCTGCAGCGAGCTCAGAGGAGCATCCCTTTGCAGCTGACCGAAGAACGAAGGAAGAAAGACAAGGCAGAAGACTGCATCCTGGCACAATATCAGTCCATGAAAGACCAGGAAGCCCTTCAGAAGCAGCTGGTACTCACATATTTAAAACATGCACCAAAATATGTGTGTGTGTGTAGGATTGAATGATAGCAGTACATGTGAAAAACATCCTGGAGTCCTCATGGACAACAAGTTAAACATGAGCCAACAACGTCATGCGGCAGCTTAAAAAGCCAATGGGATTTTGGCCTGCATCAATAGGAGTATAGTGTCTAGATCCAGGGAAGTCATGCTACCCTCTATTCTGCCTTGGTTAGACCACACCTGGAATATGTGTCCAATTCTGGGCACCACAATTGAAGAGAGATATTGACAAGCTGGAATGTGTCCAGAGGAGGGTGACTAAATTGATCAAGGGTCTGGAGAACAAGCCCTATGAGGAGTGGCTTAAAGTGCTGGGCATGTTTAGCCCGCAGAAGAGAAGGCTGAGAGGAGACATGATGAGGACCATGTGAGGGGAAGTCATAGGGAGGAGGGAGAAAGCTTGTTTTCTGCTGCCCTGGAGATGAGAACAATGGCTTCAAAAATACAGGAAAGGAGATTCCACCTGAACATTAGGAAGAACTTCCTGACTATGAGAGCTGTTCAGCAGTGGAACTCTCCGGGGAGTGTGGTGGAGGCTTCTTCTTTGGAGGCTTTTAAGCTCCAAAACTCAAGCTTAATGCCCACCAAACATTTCCAGTATTTCCTGTTCGTCATGGGAGTTCTGTGTGCCAAGTTTGGTTCAATTCCATCCATGGTGGAGTTCAGAATGCTCTTTGATTGTAGGTTTACTCTAAATCCCAGCAATTACAATTCCCAAATGACAAAATTAATCACCCTCTCAACCTCACCTGTATTCAAATTTGGGCATATCAGGTATTTCTGCCAAATTTAGTCCAGTGAATGAAAATACATCCTGCATATCTGAAATTTACATTACAAATCATAACAGTAGCAAAATTACTGTTACGAAGTAGTAATGAAAATAATGTTATGATTGGAAGTCACCACAACATGAAGAACTGTATTAAGGGGTCGCAGCATTAGGAAGGTTGAAAACCACTGCAATATAGTAAGCAATTTGAATTATATACATAACAAATAACTAGTGGAGGCTTTAAGAAGGTTGCTATTTCCAACACATTCTGCCATGCAGGAAGATATGATCAGGTAGATGACCATCAAGCTGCAATTAAAAAACCTCACACACTCTGTTGCATTCCCTATATATTTTTGTTATTCATCCCTGTCATTTCCATCTCAAATGCATTTCTTCAACTGCAGATGAAAGACATGATGAGCCGAGAACAGAGCCAGAAAATTGCAGCATTCAACCTGGGGATTTCTGAAGCCATCCGACAACACAAAAGTGAAAAACCTCCAGAAGCCTATGTAAGTGCATGCATCTTTTAGTATTCTAGCTGTCTCGGAGCTTGGAAACATAAAAGATGAACTTAAGATTCAGTTGACCACAGCTCACTTCTGCAGATGAATGCATCCATGCATTACATGTATTTTTTTTTGTCGTGTCAGGGCAACCAGTCAATTATATTACATTTCTAACAGAACAAAGCAAACAAAACAGAAAAAACAAAATTTGTGAGTTTGGTAGTTGATTAAATGTCCTTTGACCAGTATCTGGCCACTTGGAGTGCCTCTGGTGTTGCTGCAAGAAGGTCCTCCATTGTGCATGTGGCAGGGCTCAGGGTGCATTGCAGCAGGTGGTCAGTGGTTTGCTCCTCTCCACACTCACATGTCGAGGATTCCACTTTGTAGCCCCATTTCTGAAGGTTGGCTCTGCATCTCGTGGTGCCAGAGCGCAGTCTGTTCAGCGCCTTCCAAGTCGCCCAGTCCTCTGTGTGCCCAGGGGGGAGTCTCTCATTTGGTATCAGCCATTGGTTGAGGTTCTGGGTTTGAGCCTGCCACTTTTGGACTCTCGCTTGCTGAGGTGTTCCAGCGAGTGTCTCTGTAGATCTTAGAAAATTATTTCTAGATTTAAGTCGTTGACGTGCTGGCTGATACCCAAACAGGGGATGAGCTGGAGATGTCTCTGCCTTGGTCCTTTCACTATTGGCTGCTACTTCCCGGATGTCAGGTGGTGCAATACCGGCTAAGCAGTGTAATTTCTCCAGTGGTGTAGGGCGCAGACACCCTGTGATAATGCGGCATGTCTCATTAAGAGCCACATCCACTGTTTTAGTGTGGTGAGATGTGTTCCACACTGGGCATGCATACTCAGCAGCAGAGTAGCACAGCGCAAGGGCAGATGTCTTCACTGTATCTGGTTGTGATCCCCAGGTTGTGCCAGTCAGTTTTCATATGATATTGTTTCTAGCACCCACTTTTTGCTTGATGTTCAGGCAGTGCTTCTTGTAGGTAAGAGCACGGTCTTGTTTTACGGCTGATTTTCTCACCACAGAAGCGACCAGCATTACATGTAATGAGTGATAGATAATGAAAATGCATGATGATTCCACCAGACACTCTTTCCCCTTTTTCTGAAGTACCTTTGGTGCATTAATGTTAAATTGCTAAAGAAAATTAATGTATGGTATTGAGTTAGACAAAACAATACTTTGTAACCTTTCAGCCTGCTAGGAACATGTAATGAAACTAATTTGTTAATTGCTTTGTGAACTGAGCTGTTGAATTTTTTTTAAAAAGGTAAGTAAAATGACTGAAATATATTGGTAAGAAATGCTAACCATTCTTCAGAAGCATCGTAATTGGTATTTAAAAATTAAATGGAATTGTTTTGAAATATTCATAAAACATGGGTCTGCTACCGAGCACAATTCAAAGTGCTGGCTTTAGCCTATAAAGCCTTAAACGGTTCCAGCCCAGCTTACCTATCCAAACGTATCTCCCTCTATTATTATTATTATTATTATTATTATTATTATTATTATTATTATTATTTAATACTAGCTTGTGTACCTGGTGCTGCCCGGGTTATTTGAGATAGGCATTGTTTGTCTGTTCTGTAGTTTTAGTCTAGATCCAATGTCAGGTGGTTCAGTGGGTGTGAGTGAATTACAACTCTCATATGGTAGTCCCATTGTCCATGGTCCATCTTCCTCCACACTGCACCAGGATGGTGGGTGGGTCATGGAGGCTTTGTGTGTCAAGTTTCTTCTTGATTGGTCATTGGTGTGAAGGGAGGTGGCCAACCTGATGTCCTTAGGGAGAGAGTTCCACAGATGGGGGGCCACTGCTGAGAAGGCCCTGTCTCTCGTCCCCACCAACCGCGTTTGCGAGAGTGGTGGGATCGAGAGCAGGGCCTCTCCTGATGATCTTAAGCTTCACAATGGTTCATAACAGGAGATAATAATAATAATAATAATAATAATAATAATAATAATAATAATCACTTTATTTGTACCCCGCTACCATCTCCCCAAGAGACTCGGTGCAGCTTACATGAGGCCGAGCCCAAACACAAAAATACAAGCAATAATCACAACAATGCAAGCAATTAAAATAAAACATAGACGATAAACATATGACATTATCAATAAGACAACATACAATTAAAAACTATGGGAAGGCCAAATGTAAAAATTTAAATTGGAAATAGTGCTGAGGCATGGACGAAAAGGTGATAGTGGCGTTTGTGGAAGACATACGAGCAGACCTAAAAATATAAAGTGCTTTGGAGGGACAAAGTGCTATGGGATCATTATTCCGGGAAGGCACACTGGAACAACCACGTCTTCAAGTTCCTCCTAAAGACTGCCAGGGTTGGTGCCTGCCTAATGTCCTTAGGGAGTGAGATACGTTTGGACAGGTAATCTGGGCCAGAACTGTTCAGGACTTTATGATCTCCATTGGAGGTTAAGATTGTCGGGGAGGCCCTGCTCTTGATCCCGCCACCTTCACAGGTGTGCTTGGCAGGGACGAAAGACAGGGCCTTCTTGGTGGTGAGCCCCCATCTGTGGAACAGATTCCCTAATGAAATCAGGTCAGCTCCCTCTCTCCCATCTTTCAGGAAGAAATTGAAATCATAGCTGTGAGATCAAGCTTTCGAGCCGCAATCTCAGCAGTAACAATTATAAATGAATCTTGTGATTGACAATGGATAGATTTTGGATTATAACTCTGGACTTGGACTTTGATTTGTTTCTTTTAAATGGTCTTTTAACTTATGATAATGTTTTAATTAATGTTTAACTGGTGGCGCAGTGGGTTAAACCACTGAGCTGCTAAACTTGCTGATTGAAAGGTCGCAGGTTCAAATCTGGGGAGCGGCATGAGCTCCCGGTGTTAGCTCCAGCTTCTGCTAACCTAGCAGTTCGAAAACATGCAAATGTTAGTAGATCAATAGGTACCATTCTGGCAGGAAGGTAATGGCACTCCATGCAGTTATGCTGGCCACATAAACTATGCTATGTTTCTTCTGTAGAAGTCCTACATTTTTGAGAAGAGGCCACTTAGTTCCACTCCTCATCAAAAGCAAGAAGTGTATGGACAACAGCTGGGGAAACAACTGGAGGACAAGGAGATGAGGGAAAAGAAAGAGAAGCGAGACCAAGATCTCATTGACCGCCTGGAGCATGTGCAGCTGGCAGAAGAGTAAGTCTTCTAGGAGGAGTCATTCTTCTAAGTATCCCTATCTCAAGGTGCTTGTTCTGCATGCTTTAAGCCAGTGGTTCCCAACCCTTTTTTGACCAGTGACCACTTTGACTTTTTGTTTTTAGTAGGGACCATAAGCTTCAAGAAAAATAAACTGTGTTAATCTAAAAATAAACTTTAATCAAAACTTTTAACATACCCGTTAAATTTAATAATAACATGAATTAAAATACTATTATAATATTTAAAAGAACATTTTTAAATAGAAAATTAAATTAGGTTTGCATGAATGTGATTTTTGAGCTTGCATCTTCTTTACAAGGGAGGGAAGGAAGGACCAAGGAAGGAGGGCTGGAGGGAGAGAGGGAAGGGAGGAAGGTAGCAAGGGAGGAAGGAAGGAAAGAAGCAAGGAGGGAGGCAAAGGAAAGAGAAAGGAAGGACGAAATGGTGGGATGGAGGGAAGGGAGGAGAGAGGAAAGAGGAAAGGGAAAGAAGGGAAAAGAGGAAGGAAAGAAGGAGGGAGATGAGGAAGAAAAGAAGGAAGGTGAGGAGTAAGAGGGAGGGAGGAAGGAGGGAGGAAGGGATGGACCAAGGAGAGGGGGGGGGGAAGGAAAAAGGAAATGAGGAAGAAAGGAAAGTAGCAAAGAAGAAAGAAAGGAAGCAAGGAGGGAAGCAGGGAAGGGAGCAAGGAAGGAAGGAAGAAGGAGGAAGGGATGGTACTAAGCAGGCCTGTAGCCAGGATTTTGATTCGGGGGGGGGGGGGGGGGGGGGGGGGGGGGGGGGGCTGAGTCTGAGTGAAAGAGGGTCTACCCTAGCAAACCTTTTGTATCGTTAGCCCAATACCCCCATGCATATGGGATATATTGAGCATGGTGATCAGATCATGATATGAATAAACATAACAGTGTAAATAATGTACCAGTAAGGCCTTTTCGCAGACCACCATGAGAATTTCGGGGGGGGGCTGAAGCCCCCCAAGCCCCCCCCCCCCAGCTACATGCCTGCCTGAGGGGAAGGGATGGAGGGAGGTAAGGAGGAAAGAAAGGAAGGAACAAGGAAGAAAAGAAGGAAGGAGGGAAGCAAGGAGGGTGAGCATGGAACGGAAAGGAGGATGGGGCCAAGGAAGGAAGGAGGGAGAGAAGCAAGCAAGCTAGAAGGGCTGGAGGGAGAGAGGGAGGGGAGGAAGGAAGGAGGGGAGGGTGAGAAGAAAATAAGGAGGGAGTGTAGGAAGGAAAGTAAGCAAGAAGGAGGGAGGGAAGCAGGCTGCACCTCACCCAGGCTCCTGGAGGTCACTAATTCCCTATAGTGGATTGACAAAACAAAACCAAATCCATGAATTAAACAACTGATCATTAATGAGAATTAGATTTGCAGAGTGAGAGCATGCATTGTGAGAGAACCTAATGTATTTAACACAGTGGATGAACTTGTGTGAGTCACCTTAAGGTTGCCATATGCTGGAAAGACTTAAAAGCACACAGCAATAACAATCAAGTGCCTTCAATAAAACAATCAAGCTATCAGCAGAATTGGCTTTAGGTTCTTTGAGAATGTGATGAAAAACTAATTTAAGGACACCCGTGATTGATGGTTACTGAGGAGAATCTTGCAGAGCAGAAAGTCTAGAAGGAAATAATTATTTTCATTATATTAATCACATGTGTCTGTTTGGAAAAGACAATTTAACGAGTTAGATATTCGAGACCGAACATTCAATTTATGTTGAGTTACAGACTCCGATTTGTATCTGGACATATAAAAATGGAAAGAGAGTGCCATCATTATGAAAGAAAACTCCTAAATGGTAGATGCAGTGTAATCTAATAATTAGATATTGCATACTCTAATAACTGTTTGCTAAACTGAGGGTCATAAAATCTTCTAGGAATTTGGTGTTGTAAATCAAAACAAGATGCTAGTGGGTTTCCATGTCTGATTGATTTGAACCCTGAGTTCCAAAATCATAGTCCAGTTCTCAAACCACTATGCCAGTGGTTCTCAAGCTTCCTAATGCCCCAACCCCTTAATACAGTTCCTCATATTATGGTGACCTGGCTGCAGCCATAAACTTATTTTTGTTGCTACTTCATAACTGTAATTTTGTTTCTGTTATGAATCGTCATGTAAATATCCAATATTTATTTATTATTTATTTATTTACTTCTTTTGTATACCGCAAATATCAGCCTAAAAAGGCGACTCGAAGCGGTTAAAGGCGACTCGAAGCTGCATATATTTTCATTCATTGAACCAAACTTGGCACAAAGATCCAATACTCCCAAATTTCAATACTGGTGGGGTTGAGGGGAGGGATTGATTTTGTCATTTGGGAGTTGTAGTTGCTGGGATTTATAGTTCACCAACAATCAAAGAGCATTCTGAACTCCACCAACAATGGAATTGAACCAAACTTGGCAACAGAAACTACTGGAAGGGTTTGGTAGGCATTGACCTTGAGTTTTGGAGTTGTAGTTTATCTATATCCAGAGAGCACTGTGGGCTCAAACAATGATAGATCTGGACCAAACTTGGCACAAATAGTCAATATGCCCAAATGTGAACACTGGTGAGGTTTGTGGAAAATAGAGCTTGACATTTGATGTAAATAAATAAGCAAAACCCGTTTTCTTTCCTTTGTATCTCAAACTCTTGTCTTGAACCAGATTAAGTAACATTTGAAGAAATCAAGATTGGTCACCTTTTGATTTTTCGGAAGCTAAGAAAACCAATGGGATTTTGGCCTGCATAAATAGGAGTCTAGTGTCTAGATGCAGGGAAGTCATGCTATCCCTTTATTCTGCCTTGCTCAGACCACACCTGGAATCACACTGTGTCAAATTCTAGGCACGACAGTTGAAGGGAGAAGTTGACTCTAAAACAGTCAAGGCTCTGGAGAACAAGCCCTATGAGAAGCGACTTAAAGAGCTGAGCATGTTTAGCCTGAAGAAGAGAAGAAGGCTGAGAGGAGATATGATAGCCATGTATAAATATGTGTAAGGAAGTCATAGGGAGGAGGGAGCAAGCTTGTTTTCTGCTGCCCTGGAGACTAGGACGTGAAACAATGGCTTCAAACTACAAGAAAGGAGATTCCATCTGAACATTAGGAAGAACTGTGAGAACCCTTCCGCAGTGGAACTCTCTGCCCCGGAGTGTGGTGGAGGCTCCTTCTTTGGAGGCTTTTAAACAGAGGCTGGATGGCCATCTGTCGGGGGTGCTTTGAATGCGATTTTCTGTTTCTTGACAGGGGGTTGGACTAGATGGCTCATGAGGTCCCTTCCAACTCTATGATTCTATGGTTGACTACAACCATGTCAGTCTCCAGTAAGGAGTAAATCGTATTAAACTATGACTGACAGAATCTTACCCAGGTGTTTCATCTCTTTTTCTAGGTTAGCTGCCCAAAGAGCAAAATTCCTGAAGGAGAAGATGGAAGAAGTGCAAGCTTATAAGAAGGCTTTGGACATACAGGTAAAAGTATAGGGCTCTGACAAATAAATTCACAATTCAATGTTGTACAAGGTTATTCAGAAACTGTTTCGACTGATGTATTGTTGAAGGCTTTCATGGCCGGAATCACTGGGTTGTTGTAGGTTTTTCCGGGCTATATGGCCATGTTCTGGAGGCAATTTTTCTCCTGACGTTTCGCCTGCATCTATGGCAAGCATCCTCAGAGGTAGTGAGGTCTGTTGGAAGTAGGAAAAATGGGTTTATATATCTGTGGAATGACCAGGGTGAGACAAAGGACTTTTGTCTGCTGGGGCTAATGTGAATGTTTCAGCTGATCACCTTGATTAGCATTCAATGGCTTGGAAGTGCCTGGGGGGACTTTTGTTTGGTTCCCCTCTGTTGTTTTGCTATTGTAATTTTTGAGTTTTTTAATACTGGTAGCCAGATTTTGTTCATTTTCAGGATCCTGTCCCCTCCTCTCTTCTCCCTATTATTTGAGTGCAAATTACTTCTGAAAGCAGTTAAAGGCATGAAGGAGACTCCTTTTGTTGATAACGTCACCTTCATTTGGTCACAGGTTAAGATGAAACCAGCTCCTTTACCGGAATATGTACCCAATTCAACTGAGGTCATCTTCGGAAAGTACGATATGAACAATGAGAAAATGGCAGAGAGAAGGAAACGAGCCCAGGAGTATTTCAAACACCAGTTGCAGGCCGCTGCAGATCACCGGCGGGCAGCGATACTCAGCCAGTTGGTCGACCAAAGGAAAGCGGCAGAGATGATTCAGAAAGCAAGGAAGCAGTAAGAACTGGAATTAGAGTACTGGGAGTCTTTGCACGAAGTTTGGGTGTTCCTGGGCAGTTTCATTTGATGCCTGTCTTATAATGGGAGAGCGTCTTTCTAAAGATGGAGAATTCTTTTTTTCTATCTAGGGGGTGAATTCAATTTCAGGGAGATTTTCAAAGACCGCGTTCCTATATATTTATTTCCAGCTTCCTATTTATTTCTTCATTTATTTCCAGTATTGGAACCACTGTCTCCTTCCCCAAACTTGACTTAGATTATCCCTCGTTGTCCAAATATGATGGTCTTCCAAAAGTTGTGTCTTGGCAGTGGGTTCATAGGTGACTGTGGAGCCCTATTCTTGATCCACATGTTCTTTCACAGTGAGGACATCGGTTTCTAGGTGGTAGGTGGTCCCGGTCAGGGTTAGCTTGATGCACTTTCCTCTTGGCACATTTCTCTTTGTATTTAGCCCAGAAGCAGACAGGCAGCCAGTGGAGCTGCCGCAACATGGGAGTGGATCTCTCCCTGTACAGAGCTCCTGTTAGCCATCTGGCCACCGATCTCTGAACCAGTTGAAGCTTCTGAAGTATCTTCTTGATCCCTCGAGAACATTAATTGAAAGTAGCCAGTATCTTAACGGGTTTCTCCCTGATTTCCTAGGTGGATGGCTGAAAAAGGAGCACGGATGGAGAAGATCTTCCAGATGAATTTGGCCTTGCAAGAAGATTGGCGGAAGAGTGCGAAAATGAAAAAGCAAAGGGATTACGAAGAGAAACTCTTCCAGCGGTAAAGATCTCCATGGGGAGCCACTCCCCATTCATCCTTAGGCCTATTTCTAGAGGGAGTGAGGATCTTAGAGAGCAAATACTTTGGCCACCTGGAGTAAAAGTGGAAACCACTTTTTGGGTGGCAGTTACTTTGCTGATTGAGTTTTTTTTGTACCAGGAGTGACTTGAGAAACTGCAAGTTGCTTCTGGTGTGAGAGAATTGGCCATCTGCAATGAATGACATTGCCTAGGGGACGCCCAGATGTTTGAGGTTTTCCTTTCCTTCTCTCATGTCCCCGCATGAGAAGTTGGAGCTGACAGAGGGAGCTCAATCCACTCTCCCAGTCAGCAGTCCTGCTGGCACAAGGGTGAAAAAGATGTCTAACTTCCACTGTTATGGAAAGTGAGTAGATTTTCTCTCACAGTTATAAAATGATATAAATGTTCTGTCACAGTTGGACCATTTTGGGTAGATGATAAAAAAAACCCTCAAAAGAAGCAAATAAAATTAAGCCCTAGTTCTGGCTTGATAAGAAAGTTGTTCTAGAAAAAAAAACCCTCAAAACCTGTATTAAAAATCTGCCATCAGTCATAAATTGTCATTACACAGTTGTATGGTTTAGTTATGTTTCAGATTGGATATATTCCTTGAATCAAATAGTGGAATAGGAGGTCTGTCAGATTGCATATCTATTGCAAGGAGGGTATTTTGACACTTCCCCTCTCTGAGTATATTATCTACATTATTGTATTAATGCAATTACCACTGTGGCTACTGTGGTTCAAGACTCCAACATCCTGGTATTTGTAGTTTGTTGCGGCACCAGCACTCTTTAGCAGTGAAACTATCACACCCATGAGTCCATAACATTGAATCATTGTTGTTAAAGTTGTGTGAAACTGAATCAATTCTACAATGTAGATGGACCCTCCCTCTCACATAGCAAATCCCTGTGCCAGGTGTGTGATCCAGAGGGAACCAACATGTATGTACTGCTACCCCTCTATTCTGCTCTGGTTAGACCACACCTGGAATATTGTGTCCAATTCTGGGCAGCACAATTCAAGAGAGATATTGACAAGCTGGTATGTGTCCAGAGGAGGGCGACTAAAATGATCAAGGGTCTGGAGAACAAGCCCTATGAGGAGCGGCTTAAGGAGCTGGGCATGTTTAGCCTGAAGAAGAGAAGGCTGAGAGGAGATATGATAGCCATGGATAAATATGTGAGAGGAAGCCACAGGGAGGAGGGAGCAAGCTTGTTTTCTGCTTCCTTGGAGACTAGGATGCGGAACAATGGCTTCAAACTACAAGAGAGGAGATTCCATCTGAACATGAGGAAGAACTTCCTGAATGTGAGAGCCGTTCAGCAGTGGAACTCTCTGCCCCGGAGTGTGGTGGAGGCTCCTTCTTTGGAAGCTTTTAAACAGAGGCTGGATGGCCATCTGTCAGGGGTGATTTGAATGCAATATTCCTGCTTCTTGGCAGGGGTTGGACTGGATGGCCCATGAGGTCTCTTCCAGCCTCTATGATTCTATGATTCTACTCTCTCATCCTGAGACATTTGTAACACATGGGTGCATGTGAGCAGCTATTTCTTCCGCTAGTATCCCCTGAGTAGTCCTCAATGGGTGCAAAACTTTTTTGGTCACTTTTGTGTTGCAGCATTTGCACAATGTGGGTTTGCTGGAGAGTTGCACCGTTCACTTTCTATTAAAGTGCATTCAGATATCTTGAGTTAAGGATCAAAAACAGCAAAGTCTTGAAGAAAGAAGCTAAGCTTTATTGCAGGAACTCAATTCTGTGATAGAATAGTAACTCAGGCCCCTTCAACACTGCCATATAATCCAGATTATCAAATCAGATAATCCACGTTATCTGCTTTGAACTAGATTATATGAATCTACGCTGCCATATACTGTGTTCCCTCGCTACTTTGTGGTTTACTTCTAGTGGACTCGCTGTTTCGCGGGTTTTGGAAAATATTAATAAAAAAATTAAATGCAAAATATTTACATCCAGTGGAGGCTAGGGACCCCGGAAGTGCGGTGGCCTGAGGCGCTGCAGGGAAGGTCTACCTCCCTGGCCTGTTGCTGCCTTCATGGCTCCGGAGGGTCTGCAGGGGTCTGCAGAGGCCAGGGGGGCAGGCAGGTGCTTTTGGGATGGGCCGGGATGCGGGTAAGGAAGTGCAGGTAAGAAAATAATATATAAAATAATGTATAAATATTAAAATTAATATGACGTCCCTACTTCACGGATTTTCACTTATTGCAGGGGGTGCTGGAATGGAACCCCTGCAATAAGTGAGGGAACACTATAATCCAGTTCAAAGTAGATAATCTTGATTTTGCATGGCTGTGTATAAGGGGTCACAGTGTGTTACTAACTACATCTTGGTAGGTTGAAAGAGCACTCATGGGAAAAAGGAGAGGTGGAGAAACGTCCCTAAAAGTATAGGGGTCAGGTTAGAGATATATAGCGAGAGAAGACATTTCAGATCACTCAAACTACCTAACCCTATTATCATTGCCCACTGTGAAGCACTCTCCACTGCTAAGTGTTCTTCCTTGCTGTGATAATGCTCTGTAGCCAACTTGCAAACCATGATGTCTCATGCTGAGAAAGGAGGCTTCGGAATGAAGCATCGGAGAGAGCTCAGTAGGGCAGGTTAGAAATTATATATATATATTTATCCCACTTTTCTCCCATGAGTGGGATTCAAAGCGGCATACTATTCAAAGTGGATTATTATTATTATTATTATTATTATTATTATTATTATTAGAAACACAACAAGCTGGGTCTGTCTTTCCCCTGCTTTGTACTGTTCAAAAGGCATTCTGGGCTCCATTTCTCTGTGCCGTGGAAACGGAGTCCTATGGAGTCCCACCAGAAGTTGCTTTGCATCATGTGATGGCCTCTGTGGGACTCAGTTGACGTCCCTGAATTGACAGCAGTAGCAGGGGAACACAGCGGGAACAGAAAAGTAGTATTCTGGACCATATGTGGGCCCTCAGGGCTTCTGTTGTCCACCCTTGTCCCACATAGATACAATTCAATTTGGTGTTTTGAATTTTGATGCCAAGTAAGCCATTTTCGGAGCCACCAGCGGCTCAGTGGGCTAAACCACTGAGCTGCTGAACTTGCTGACCAAAAGGTCAGCAGTTTGAATCCAGGGAGCGGGGTGAGCTCCCGCTGTTAGCCCCAGCTTCTACCAACCTAGCAATTTAAAATGTGAGTTGATCAATAGGTACCACTTCTGTGGGAAAGTAACAGTGTTCCATGCAGTTATGCTGGCTACACTCCCTAGGAGGTGTCTATGGACAGTGCCAGTTCTTCGGCTTAGAAATGGAGATGAGCACCAACTTCTAGAGTCAGACACAACTAGATTTAATGTCAAGAGGAAAGCTTTACCTTTACCTTAAGCCATCTTCCTTACTTCTCAAATACGCTCAATGCTTGCTAAACCCATATTTCCTTTCTCTAGGACTGGTGACAAGCTCCTGCTCTTGGACCAATGTGCGAGGTTCCGTCATTGCTACCGATGCAAGAGGAGCATAGGCACCTGTGGGGAAAACAATGCATGGACAGATACAAAATACGTCCCTGGATCCCGGCTAGTTGTTTGAAGCAATTTCATCCGCAACTTTCTTTCTCCACTTCTTTGTACCTATATAAAAACATTGTTGATCTTTTCTCTAAGAATAGAATTCTGTTCACTTTGCTGTGCTTGTGATTCAGTCCCTGTTGCTTTCTGACTCAGGATTTGCGTCTTCTACGTTTGAGATATTATTGTGCAGAATTATGTTAAATTAAAAATAAATAAATAAATGGAAGCATTCCAGTAAGTGATTTTTTGCTTTTCAAGCTATAGATTTGTTGCTACAGTGATGTTTTAGGGAGGAGATGAAGATGTGAATGGGAGAGGGACATCATAGAGCAGGCTTGCGAGATCTGCTTTGTTTTTCTGTACGTATGTCAACATCCTTAAAGAGGGACTCAGTATGCTATAACAATTATATAAAGCATGAAGTCAACTGAAGACTTTTTGGTTCCAGAACAGAGCCAATCGTCTTTCCTTGTGAAAATTCTTTGTAGGTTTCTGCTCAAGCATTTGCTATTTTCAGAATAGGAAAAATCATTTTTATAATAACACTATTTTATAATAATTTATTTATTATTATTTATTTATTTACTTTGCTTCTATACTGCTGTTCTCAGCCCGGGGGCGACTCACAGCGGTGTACAACATAGGAAGAACAAAATTCAAGACACAGTATAAAAACACAATTCACAATCCAGCATTATACAAAACATCATCATTACTACGAAAACCATTCAGCGTCGTCTCATTGTCCAAACCACAATCCAGTATCATTTTCCGTTGTTCCATTCCAATCGTCATTACCAATCATTGCACTTCTTGTTCGAACGCCTTCTTGAACAACCAAGTCTTTAATTTCCTGCGGAATATCATCAGGGAAGGAGCCAGTCTAATGTCCACGGGAAGGGTGTTCCACAGCCGAGGAGCCACCACCGAGAAGGCCCTATCTCTCGTCCCCGCCAGCCGTGCCTGTGAAGCAGGCGGGATCGAGAGCAGGGCCTCCCCGGAAGATCTCAAAGTCCTGGTGGGCTCATAGGTCGAGATGCGGTCGGATAGGTATCTTGGGCCGGAACTGTTTAAGGCTTTATAGGCCAACGCCAGCACCTTGAATTGAGCCCGGTAGCAAATCGGCAGCCAGTGGAGCTGGTACAACAAGGGGGTTGTATGCTCCCTGCGTCCCGCTCCTGTTAGTATCATGGCTGCCGCATGTTGGACCAGTTGGAGCTTCCGGGCCGTCTTCAAAGGCAACCCCACGTAGAGAGCGTTGCAGTAGTCTAAACGGGGTGTAACCAGAGCGTGGACTACCGTGGCCAAGTCAGACGTCCCAAGGTACGGGCGAGCTGGTGCACGAGCCTTAGCTGTGCAAATGCTCCCCATGTCACCGCCGAGACCTGGCTCCAGGCTCAGCGATGAATCCAGGATCACCCAAGCTGCGAACCTGCGTCTTCAGGGGGAGTGTAACCCATCCAGCACACAGGCTGTAACCCTATGCCCTGTTCGGCCTTTGCGACTGACCAGGAGTACCTCTGTCTTGTCTGGATTCAACTTCAATTTGTTCGCCCTCATCCAGACCGTTACAGCGGCCAGGCACCGGTTCAGGACCTCGACAGCCTCCTTAGTAGCAGGTGGAAAGGAGTGACAGAGTTGGACATCATCTGCGTACAGATGACACCGTACCCCGAAACTCCAGATGATTTCTCCCAGTGGCTATAACACTATTTTATAATAACACTATTTATATTCCACCTTTCTCCCCAAGGGGACTTAGAGCGGTTCACAGTACACATACGCGGCAAACATTAAAAGCCATTTGGACAGACAGGACAGAAACAGACAGACAGAAAGGAGATATGTTGTGTTGACATCCAGCTTTTTGGCGCCTTGGAGGTTATGCTCGAATCCAGCCACAAAGGAGTGTTGCTGCTCCATCCTCTATGACAGGGGTCCTCAAACTAAGGCCTGGGGGCCGGATATGGCACTCCAAGGTCATTTATGTGGCCCTCGCTCAGGGTCAACCTAAGTTTGAAACGACTTGAAAGCACACAACACTTCTATCTCATCAGCCAAAAGCAGGCCCACACTTCCCATTAAAATACTAATAAGTTTATATTTGTTAAAATTGTTCATTTTAATTATTATATCATTTAAAGTGTTTTTTGCACTACAAATAAGATATGCGGCGTGTACATAGGAATTCATTCTTTTTTTCCCCTTCTTTTTCTTTTTTTTTTGAAATTATAATTCGACCCTCCAACAGTTTGAGGGACTGTGACCTGACCCTCTGTTTAAAAAGTTTGAGGACCTCTGTTGTAAAGTATGTACAGTAGGACAAATTATTTTCATATGGAAGATGGATCTGGGTTGTTTGGGCAGGATGACGGATTTCTTAAGAACGAGGCCTTCCATCGATTCTTTCATACATAATACATATACAGCACAACCCCCGTATCCACGTAGGCTATGATTCTAAACTTACCACGGAAACAGGAAACCACGAATAATAACAAACCATATTGGAGATCGATGGTTTCCACTGGAAGTTACCATAGATCTTTGCTTAAGATTTATTAAGGCCACCTCCTGGCGAGATTGCACCTGGGAAGAGATTTAAAGCAAAATCTATCTACTCTGAATCATTGTGTTTCACCAGACAATGCCAATAAAACAAATGTTCCAAGCCCAAGGGACAACAGGAGAGATACTTTTGCAATAGGAGATGGTTTTTTTAAAGTCAGGAGCAACTTGAGAAACAGCAAGTGGCTTCTGGTGTGAAAGAATTGGCCATCTGGAAGGATGTTGGCCAGGGAACACCCGGATGTTTTATCCTGTGGGAGGCTTCTCTCATGTCTCCACGTGGGAAGCTGGAGCTGACAGGTGGGAGCTCACTCCATCTCGTGGATTTGAACCGTCGACCTTCAGGTGAGCAGTCCTGCCAGCACAACGGTTTAACCCATTGTGCCACCACAGCTCCAATATGAGACTGTAGCAATGATTAATGCAACCAACCCATTTGTTTACATGGACTTTTATTTTGTTCTGTTTTTACTAAATGGTGCTGGCCTTCCCTGGGAGTCAAGAGCACAATAGCATTTTTTGTAATCAGAAATTATACACACAGTGTCATGTGTTAAGTACTCAAGGTTGTCACAGTAAAAAAAACCTTACGCCAGGAGTTGCATATATTGTTATTTTTTTTTCATACACAGACAGTACATTCATCTTTGTCTGAGGTGTTCAATAGGAAATCTAACATTGATACATTCAAGGAGTTTCAGTGTAGGATTACGTACAATAATCCACAGACCATTACATTAAAATAAAAAGAAGGTAAAGACAATCCTCATCTGAACAAGAAATCTCTATCATAAGGTCACCAGAAGTCTTAAACAAATTGAAGGCACACAACCACTAGAATGGTTGGTGTCTAAGGGTTTGATCTTCCAATGACTTTCACAGAAGTATTTGTTTGGAACATGAAAGTGCATTATTTATGTAACAGTCTAAACTACAACCTCAAAGGATCATATAGGTCCCAGTTTATCTATGATACAATACTCCAAGCATATTTTAAAGCAGCTTCTTTGGCATGGAAAAACTGGGAAATTCTAAGCAAGAATATTGGTAAATTATTTTGAGCTTTTGGTATGAATGAAGCACTAACGATTGCGTAGGTTGTCTAGAAATGGGCCAAAACTTCTTAGTAGGTTGCTGTGAGTTTTCTGGACTGTATGGCCTGTTCCAGAAGCATTCTCTCCTGGCCATGCAGCCTGGAAAACTCACAGTAATGCAGTGATTCCAGCCATGAAAGCCTTCGACAACATATAAAACTTCTTAATTTGCTTAAATATGAAGAATGGTTTGAGTCAGAATGCGTATATATGTGTGTGAAATGATGGTGGAGTCAGCAACAACACACATTTCTCTGTTGTGTAACAAAGATGGACCTGCATTGCTCTAGGATGGCGAGAATGAAAACTTGAGAAAAATACTGTATGTTTTAACAGTTGAGTAGAAGGAATAAGTATTGCTTATTACCTGGCTGTGCAACAAAACATCTGCGGAAATGTCGCCTTCTATACAACCATTAAAGGTTCAGGAATTGTTTTCAACCTAAGAATCCAGCATAAATACATGAGATCCAGGGTTTGTGATTTATATTTGTGGAAATACTTCATTGATGGTAAATCATGGATGAAAAAAATGTGACTCTCCATTTATTGCCTTATAGCTCCTTTCTTGACTGATCATTGACTGTGCTGGATCAGTGCTACTTGAAATGGTTCACTGTGGGCTGCTGAGGTTTCCGGGCTGAAACGGTTGCTGAGGTTTCCGGGCTGTATGGCCAAATTCCAGAAGCATTCTCTCCTGATTGTGTCCAATTCTGAGCACTGAAATTGAAGGGAGATGTTGACAAGCTGGAATGTGTCCATAGGAGGATCAAGGTTTGGAGAACAAGCTGTTGCACTTAAGTGAAATTTAGTCTAGTCCAATGCAAGAAACACAGTAAGTTTTCACAAAAGAAGGAGGAAAGAAACCAGAAAAATTTTACTCTTGTCAGCAGAGTCAAAATATAAAATTGCAGTGTTGCATACAAAATAAACAGTGCAACAAACTTGTAAGAAATACAGAACACAAAGAGCTTAGCTTCTCCGTCCCTCTTCACATTAGCAGTGCAAATTGGTTTAGCAGAACGCTGTGAGCAAAAGACTCCTTAGAGCAAATGCTTTTGAACATAGAGCTGAACTGTATTCTAAACTACATACAGTTATACCCCACTGGGTGTGGCTCAAACCTACTTGCTGACCTAGATTAGCAGCTGCACATGATAATTAACAGTATAAGGTTTTCTTTAACACACACATATACATGGTGCCGATCCTTTTACAACTCACCATAACACAAGCCCTATGAGGAGCGGCTTAAAGAGCTGGGCATGTTAAGCCTGCAGAGGAGAAGGCTGAGAGGAGACATGATAGCCATGTATAAATATGTGAGAGGAAGTCATAGGGAGGAGGGAGCAAGCTTGTATTCTGCTACCCTGGAAACTAGGATGCGGAACAATAGCTTCAAACTACAGGACAGGAGATTCCACCTGAACATGAGGAAGAATTTCCTGACTGTGAGAGCTGTTCAACAGTGGAACTCTCTGCCCCAGCGTGTGGTGGAGGTTCCTTCTTTGGAGGCTTTCAAGCAGAGGCTGGATGGCCATCTGTCAGGGGTGATTTG